AGCATAATAAATTACACGAAGCAATTTATCAACTCGCTGGCCCAAAACGGCTCCCACAGCAAGGTTCGATGCATCACACATAATCTCAAATGGCAAAGACCAATCAGGTGCAATCACAACGGGAGCAGTCACAAGCTTATTTTTCAATATATCAAAAGCATCTAAACATGCATCATCAAACACGAATGGCACATCATTGGCAAGCAAGTGACACAAGGGTTGGCTAATTTTTGAAAAATCTTTAATAGATCTCCTATAAAAGCCAGCATGACCCAAAAAGCTTCGAACACCTTTCACATTCACAGGCGGGGGAAGTTTTTCAATAATATCCACTTTAGCTTTGTCAACCTCAATCCTCCGACTAGACACCACATGACCTAGCACAATACCACTAGTCACCATAAAGTGACTTTTCTCCCAACTCAAAGTCAAATTCGACACAATGCATCTTTTAGGAACTCGAGATAAGTTATGCAAGCAATCAGAAAACGAGGTACCAAAGATTGAAAAGTCATCCATAAATACCTGCAAGCAGTCCTCGAGCATATCAGAAAAGATGGAGAAGATGCACCGTTGGAAGGTCCCGAGTGCATTGCATAGGCCGAATGGCATCCGTCTGAAAGCAAATGTGCCGAATGGGCCCGTGAAGGTTGCCTTGGGCTGGTCCTCCGGAGCTATGGCTACTTGGTAGTAGCCCAAGAGTCCGTCGAGGAAGCAATAGAACTGGTGGCCGAAGAGACGATCGAGAATTTGATCAATGAACGGCAACGGAAAATGGTCCTTCTTAGTCACGGCATTGAGTCGCCGGTAGTCAATACACATCCGCCACCCGGTAGTGATTCGGGTGGGGACCATCTCTTTCTTCTCATTCTCGATCACCGTGATGCCCCCTTTCTTCGGCACCACATGGATGGGATTGACCCACTCACTGTCGGCCACTGGATAAATGAGCCCCTCGGAGTAGAGCTTCAGTACTTCCTTTTTCACCACCTCCATCATGTTCGGGTTGAACCGCCGCTGGCTATCCCGAAATGGTTTGGCACCCTCCTTCCGGTGCATACACGTGGAAGGGTTGATGCCCTTAATGTCACATAGGCCCCATCCAATAGCCTTCTGATTCCTCTTGAGCACCTCGATCAGCTCCTTTTCTTCATCCCGGTTAAGCTCGACAAAGATGATAACCGGCTTTTGTTTCTCACTCTAGCGTCGGTGGGGCTTTCAATCTCGGTTCTTCGACCTCCATCAGCTCAATAAACGGTCCTTCTTCCTCTTCGAGATCAGGCATTAACCTCTCTTCCAAGTCTCGTATGGTCCTCTCTTCGATGAGTGGGTCACTGACATCGATGAACGCGCACTCCTCCACATAGTTCGCCGAAGGGCCAGATGTGGCCTCTCGGACAGAGATTGATATGGACTCGCCCAAGACCGTCATGTTCAAGGTCCCATTCTTCACGTCAATGAGCGTATTGGTGGTGGCCATGAATGGTCGGCCTAGAAGAATGGTATGGTCTTTCCCGTTCTCATGCACGTCCCCTACATCGAGTACCACAAAGTCCACCGAGACTATGAGTTTCCCGACACGAACTAGGACATCCTCAACTACCTTCTTGGGGTATCTAATCGAACGGTCTGGGAGCTGTAGGCACATGCGAGTGGGCCTCAAGTCTTCTAAGCCGAGCCGCTGAAAGATGGAGGATGGCATTAGATTGATTCTCGCTCCGAGGTCAAGCATCCCCGAAGCTTCTTTTCTATTCCCGAGAGCAATCTTTATCACGAAACCCTCGGGATCTCGTTCATTCTTAGGCAAATCATGTTGCATAGCACTCGCTGCTTCGTAGACCACCACCTTCTCCCCATCTCCGAAATCTCTTCTTCGTGACCAAGTCTTTGAAAAACTTCACGTACGATGGCATATTTTTTATCACCTCTAGAAGAGGCAAGTTGACGTTGACCTTCGAGAGCATGTTGTACAAGTCTCGGAATTGCTGCTTCTGCTTCTCATCTCGAAATCGGCTTGGGAAAGGAATGCGTGGCCTGTACAGGTTTGGGGATTTGTGAAGCAATGGACCCTCTATCGGTTTTCCCGAATCGGTTTCTGTGCTCTTCCCGCTCTCATCGGTCTCTTTGGTCTGGTCGGTTGGTTTGGGGTCATCGGGCTCGGGCATTCTTTGTTGTCCACTTCCTTCCCGCTTCTCAACACTGTTATCGTTTTTGCTTGCTCGGGCTGGCTCGGAAGTTTCCCTTTATCTGACTCAGCCTCCATGTTCCCGACTCTCATTGCAAGTTGGCCCACTTGCGTCTCGAGACGCTTAATAGATGAGTCCTGGTTGGTGATAAACTGAAGGATCTTGTCCAGCTTGTCATCTTGGTTTGACGAGCTCGAACCGGACCCTTGGACTTGCTGCTGAGGTTGTTGTTGTTGTTGGTAGTTCGGACGAGGGATGAAGTTGGGACTAGGTTGTTGTTGCATGAAATTTGGACGAGGTTGATGTTGGTTGAAATTTGGGCGAGGTGACCGGAGGGTGTTGCTGTTGTTGGACCACGAAAAGTGTGGTGTGGTTTCTCCACCCGGGGTTGTACGTATTGGAGTAGGGGTCGTTGGGCTGCCGGTTTTGATAACCTTGAAGGGCGTTGACATCTGCATATTGTTCTCCAACCTCCTGGTCAAAAGCTGATGGACACACCTCGGATCTATGCCTCTGAACTCCACATGCCCCGCATGTGTCTACCGTCATGGTCTGCACTGACTGACTTCCTCGTGATTAGCCGCATTTGCTCTGTGAGTTCGGCTATTTGATGGGCCATCATGTCTTGAGCAGACGATACCTCGTTGACCACGACCCTCTTCCCTCGATTTCTCTTTTGAGACGAGTTAGCACTCATCGTCTCAAAAATCTCATACATCTCTTCGACCGTCTTCGCACCAATGTCTACTCCCGCAGCATTATCAACCATATATTGCAGATTCTGATTGAGGGAGTCGTAGAAACAATTCATCAACAGTCCTGGCGAAAGATTATGGTGAGGGCACTGCCGCTGGAGATCCTTGAATCGCTCCCAGGCCTCGTGAAGAGGCTCACTCGGTAGTTGGGCAAACGAGACAATCTGCGACCGGAGCTCCTGAGTCTTCTGATGGGAGTAATACCTCCCAATGAACTTCGTGTATACTTCTGTCCAGGTAGTTAGAGATGCCGGTGCAAGCGTCATGAACCAGGCCTTGGCCCGGTCTTTCAATGTTTCTGGAAGCACCTCATCTTCAATTGATCCTCGTTCAGCCCGTTGAGAGGAAAGGTATTGAGGACATTGTAGAATTCTCGAATGAAGTTAAGCGGGTCTTCACTCGGGAGCCCATGGAATGCCGGGAGCTGGTTGTAGTGAATCATCTTCAACTCATAATTTCGTGCGGGATCCGACAAATAGATGCATGAAGTGACTGGCCCGATAACCGGTTGGGCTAAGGTTTGGAGGGTGTTACGGGGTGGTTGTTGCTGCTGTTCACCCATTTTGGAATTGCTACCTTCGGACGACTTCGGAGAGTGATCGTCTCCTTCGTTAGATTCGAAAGTGAGCTCTTCCAGTAGTTCTCTCAGGCTCTCGTTGACTGATATGTTGATCGGAGATAGCAGTTTGCGTCCACTCCTGGTACGCATACACTAAAACCAACAAGGGTTACGAGCACCAGTGGTAGACAAAAGAATAAATACTAAATTAAACAAACGAAAAATCAAGAATTATAAAACTAAGCAAAAGAAACAAAGAGAAACACAGAAAACAAAATGAATAGGCGCACAAAATAATCCTAAACCTTCCCCGGCAACGGCGCCAATTTGTTTTAAGTATTTTTACCGGAGTAGAATCAAGAGATTCGTCCCCCGGGTTGTATCACAAGGAAGGTTGGCCGGATAATTTTGCACGTATCACACAAAAAGAGAAAACGAAATCCTAAACACTATAATTCGCGATTTGGTGGTTTTTGATTATCAACTACGAATGATAAGAACGGAGCTAGCTATTTCAAATTCGCAATTCAAAGTTTAAATTCAAATGGTATAGACGGACTAGGGTGTCGGGGACAATTGTTTCCGGTTCTCAATACATTAAACGGGTAATTAACTACTCAGCTAACGAACACGCAATAACCATTTCATATAGAGATTCATTCTCAATAAATCACGTAACAAGAGAATAAACATAAACGAACAATTATCGAATTCATGAACACATAGACAATACGCTTCCGAACAAGTCTATTCTAAACAAGCCGAGGTCGATCGATTTCTCTCCTTTCGGTTCTAAAATCGATTAAGTAGGTTAAAATGGAGATCAAACATTCAACCCTAGGTATAACATAACTTGTCTAGATTGAGCAATTAACAATTGCACAACGAAATCAAACCGGAACAATTATCCCTTAACCCTAGTTAATGAATTTAGCTACTCATTGCAATCTCAACACGAAGATTCATAATCAAACAAGCCATCACATTCATGTATAAGATGAAAAGAAAAACTTACGATAGATATCAAATCAAATGTCGAACAAGCAACGAGCAAACCGAGTTCAAAGCTAGAAAATGAGTTTTTCAATCTCAAAATCCAATTTAAGATGAAAGATTAAGAGAAGAGTGTTCTAGAGTGCAAGCTCTGAAAAAACGAAGTCTCCATCCTCCCCAATGACCCCAAATCGATATATTACATTTCCCATTTTGAATTCCATAAAAATCACACTCGCCATAAAACAGACCTTAGCGGCGCTAAGGTCTTAGCGCCACTAAGCTGCCTTAGCTGTTCTGCTCTACCCGCTGCATTGCCCAAAGCGCCGCTATCCATAGGGCCTTAGCTGTTCTGCTCTACCGTGGAATCTTGAACAATTCTGGTGGTGGCATTTGGTAAAAGCTGACATAGAGCTCGACAAGCACCAAATTTAACTAGTGGAGATCTGTAAAAGACGGAATAATGAGCGAGTGACATCATGTTAGGGAGTTTAAAAACCCAAGATCTTACACATCCATTCCAACTGTCTTCATAGCAGCAGATATGAAGTCATCTGTTACTTGGTTGTTCATCTGTCCACATAATTAAAACCAAATTAGATCTTGCAGGAAGATGAAAGAGCTGTGTTTAGGATAACGAAGGCAGGCAGAGAAAAAGAGGCTGTTCAGTTTTCACTACTTACCATGGAAGAAAATCTTGCAACAGTCGAAAATAAGCGGGCACAAAGAAAGGGGTACTCATGGAAGCCTGTAATAAACAAGATGCTTATAATAAATAAAATAAAATATAGATAAGCTAGCAGGAAAAGAATTTTCAATACATCTTATAGTGCTTGTCTCACCATTTGCCATGTCATCACTTAATATTTCCCACAGCATAGCTCCAACAGTGGAACCAGAAACCTAAGAAATCAGAACATAGGCATTAAACGAACTATTAACCGAGCATCTATACAGAATAGAGATCAAAAAAGAATGTCAAGGGCCAAGGACCAACCTCTACTTCATCAAGCAACTGTTCAGGCACAGAAGCCAAAGCAGCCAAAGCATACAGGGCAGCCTCCCTTAACTGCAAGCACGTTGATAAGGTAAATGATTTTAAAAGGAAAAAAAAAAAATATACCAGTTTAGCAAGTTACAATGTCCATATAACATTTTTCTGCAGTAAATCAAGTCATGGATTTGTTCTACTTACTCTCCACCAACCACGAGAGCGAGTATCTTTCGCCTTTTGGGACTCGTTTCTTCGCATTTCTACAGATATGATCACTGCTTTTATGCCTTCGGTCCCACATTTAGATACTACATCTTGCAGCAGACGTGCACCTGCAAGGTACAAAAAATCCACAAGGTAGAAAATTAATCTTTAAAAGAAATCCATGAGATGCAATCTCTGGTTTTATACAAGAATGTAGTGGGTAAGATGACAAGCAGGAAAACAATAAATTAATCTACATATTTTACTGGAAAGACTTCGCAACACACATATTAGCTCCACAGCATGTCTCATAGCATAGGTTATCAATGCACAAGTCTTCGTATAGAACGCCCACCACATACACACAAACATAAAGGTGCAAAAAGAGATATTTTTAAATGACAAAAAAAACCAAACAGGTAAAACAAAAACAACTACGCTCATGCGGTCATAAAGGCCTGTTAGAACAGAAAATCATCTTTGGCGAACAAAATTAATCGGCAACCAGCAAGATCAGAAATAAATTAGTAGTATACAGCATACCGCCATGATTTTCTCAATAAGCTTGACTGCTCGTTGATTAATATTCATTGCAAGACAAGATCAAGTACACATACACAGAAATAGGAAGATAAAATGCATATATACACCACACATGACCACGAAGTGTAAACATACTGCCAATAGCAGAAATTAAGGAACAAAGTATTGCCAATTCCAGAATCTATTTACCGTGTACACGACAGTAAGTACTGTTATCCTCATCAGCAACATACTTGTTAGCATCGTTTGACCAGGACTGAACCTACAGACAAGAAAGGAGAAATTGACTCGAGTTGCTCCTATAAGAAGTAATCTCACAAATTAGTATCTTTGACAGTAAAAATAGATCTTGCATATGTAGCTAGCAACATACTAACTAGAAAAGCAAGTTGAAACTTTAATACAAAATCGCTCACCCAAAGTTTCAAAACTCAAATATCCAAGAAAAAAGAAAGGTGGAAACACTCGAACAAAAGAAATTGTTACAGTCCAATTGGGCCCAGTCGGCAACATATACACATCCGGATATAAAACTTAGAGAGAGAGAGAGAGAGAGGGGTTGAGGGGGAGTACCTGTCTTTCCGTCATTTGAAGGAAACCAATAGTGTAGTAGACTAACTCAAATACATTGTCCATAACAACCTACATGAAATAATAAAGACTTCCAAAAAATCCGAAAGTGGAATCCAGAGCAAGACAATGGGGAGATGGCCTTGAGACATACCTTCACAAACCTCGGGCTTCCAGTAGCAGTCAATAAAAATTTAAATAACTGCACCCCACAAGACCAGGAATAGCATGTCAAATACAAAATTGCAATTATTCCACAATCACCGAACAATTTTCTATTAAGATCTTTAATTGTCATCAAAGTTCACACATGCACACTACACAAGTGTTATACACATAATACAAGCACATGCTACACACGCTTCCCATGTATTCACAAACATGCAATGCATTTTCAAGCTAACATGCTATACACAGAACACACACAACACACCGCACACATTCTACACACAATTTCAGGAAAGAAGAAAATGACAACAACCCATTCAGACCCAGCTCTATGATTAGATATGTTCCAACCAGATAAAGGAAACAAAACATTTCACTGTAAGAAGTCGGCACCAGTGCACAGTTTAGTCATGAAGTTTTATTTGATGCTACTTTTCCTAGACCAAACTTCACAGAACAGGTAAGAATGTACTAACCTCGATAACAAAGGACTCGAGACTTTGCTCAGCACCATCAGAATCATACCCTTCATCATAGGAATTTTCATTGCCTTCAATTGCTGAGCGCTCATAAACTTCAAACGTTAACACAAATGTTTCCCAAAATGGCCACCGAATTACTGAAAGACCGCCAAAGTGAGAAATTATGAGAATAACAACAGAAGGATGGGCGAGACTACAAAAAAA